GGAGGAGGAGGAGGAGGAGGAGGAGGAAGTTACGGAAGCCGACGACAAGGATGAGGGGAGCAAAGAGGACAATAGGATACGGGGTGGTCGAGGGGGGGGCACCTCTTCGTATGGTTGACTGCCGATTTCTCCACGAACGTGGCGATGTCATGCGCGAGCAATGGAGGGCTGTGAAGGGCCTCCTCTTTCTGTCTCTAATCCCCCTCGCCAGTTCTGGCACACCACGCCTCGGCGCGAAACGCTATCCACGTCCCCATTTCCAAGCGTCGACGTCCCGAGCTGTTTCCAGTCTCCCGCCCCGCGAAGCGGAACGACACGCTATCTGATCGCAAGGCATAGCGTGTCGCCAGGGTTGCCGCCGCGACACGCTATGCAAAAGTTCCTCACCTGATCGTCCTCCTCATTCCCCTCCGCCTCATCGGGAACGCGCCGCGCCCGTCTCGTGGGGACATCCTCTTGCCTCCGACGCACGCTGAGAAGCGTGCAGATCCGCCAGGTTCAGCCCGTCCACCAGCAAGAAGTACACCACTTGCGCGATGCTGGTCTCAGGCCTCGGGCGGTTTGCCAGCTGCGGACGCGAGGCAACTTCTACGGTCAGGAGCTTTGACTCAGCGTGTCGCTCCGCTGGTTCTGGCCCACCACGCTTCGGCGCGACACGCTATCCACATCCCCATTCCCAAGCGTCAATTTCCCGAGCTCTTCCCAGCCTCCCGCCCCGCGGAGTGGAGCGACACGCTAAGCAAAAGCTCCTGACCGTAAATCCGTGCGTGCCCATAGCCTCCGACTGTAGTGCGAAACGAGTTGTCCTGCATCATTTCTTGCCTTTTGGCTGTGTGTTGGGGGGGTCCACCGAAGTGCGCCAGCTTTACCATGCGATGGCAGAGCGTCTGCAGACCCGATCTGCCTTTTTCTCACGTCATGCTTATGGTAAACTCTCGACCGCTGGCGGCGGCGCTTGATCGGCGGGCCGGGGGCGGTGCCATCCTCTGTTTGCTCGTTAGCTCGGCTCTGCCCCTCCGCGCGCGTGGTGTGGCATGGTCACGCTGCAAGTGGCCACGGTGCGACACGCGCGGTCCGACGGAGCCATTTGTGCCTCAGCCACTCCTCACGGCCTCGCGGACGGATGCGCGGAGGCTCCCAAGCAAGGGCTTGGTGATCGTCGGCGGCAGCGGATGCAGCCCACCGGGCCGGCGACCGAACGACGACGTGGGCAAAGCTTGCTAAAGCATTCGGTTGCCCACGCATGAATTCCGGGCGCGCGCGGGGTTCCACGTTCCACGTACGAGGTTCCGTGCCAGCAGATCTTCACGCGCGTGGGGATCCAAGCGCACCGCCTGGGGCTCCACGCGCACGGGGCTCCACGCAGGGCTCCACGCCCGTTGCCGTAAGGAACTGTTCGGGGCCCACCAACTGGCATCGTTGTTGATTCTCTGCTTCGCGATTGGGGTTCTGGATTTGCTTGTCAATCTCGTTTTATGTGGCTTGTCATGCGAACGGCACGCATGCGAGCCAACAGGGTCGGCATCGTACCAGGGGGATGTTGCTACGGAGAAATGTTGGATCTCTGCCTGGCCACAGCTCCGCCTTCTTGCCTGCCCCAGGCACCGATGCAAGCCCCCTGGCACAGCAGACACTTGCGATGATCGCCCACGAGGCAGTGTACGTCGCCTTGATGGCGGGGTGGTTGCGCATGGATATGCTCATGCATGGGGAAGTCTGAGCACATGGAGGAGGAAGATGAAGAGGACAAACGATAAGAGGAAGAGGAGGAGGAGGTGGAGGAGGGGGAGGAGGAGGTGGAGGAGTAGGAGGCACGGAAGAGGGAAGAGGACGAAATGGAGGACGAGGACGACGACGGCGACGATGACGGCGAGGGCGACAAAGATGACGAACAGAAACACCAACATGATCAAGGGAGAGGAACGGCACAGGATGAGCGAGGGCGACTCTGGCAAGACGGTGGAAGGTGCGCAAAGAATCCGACGGCGCGCGCACAACGCAGGAGTTTCGCCATCGTCACTAGAAACCGTGTGCTCAACCGTGCACTTGAAGCCCACCTCCCGCTAGGACGATCTCTCCACCTCTCCCCCTTCACCTCTTGCCTGTCTCTCCCCCTTCCCGTCCTCCGCACCCTCTCGCATTACCCTTCCCCCCCTTCCCCTTCCCCCTCCTCCTCCTCCTCCTCCTTCTCCTCCTCCTCCTCCTCCTCCTCCTCCTCCTCCTCCTCATCATCATCATCATCATCATCATCATCATCATCATCATCATCATCATCATGAGGCGTGTGTGTCGCGTGTATTAGCTGGCTGGTTTTTTCCTCACATAATTGGCGCGATCTGTCGCCAGAGGAAGCGACATTGGCCTCGTCTTCCGGGGGTATTTTCCCCGATCCCTAACACGTGTTGGCGTGCGCCCGAGGGGAGAGAGGCAGAGCGAAGGGCATTCGGAAGGGATTGGGAGACACGGAGGGGAGACTCGCGCAGAGCCGGAAATCTGGTGGAAGGCACGTGTGCCAGCGGGACCAAACGCGTGATGTACGTATTCAAGTGTCTGATGCACTCGCGGCTTGCTGCATGAGGGGAGGGACAATTTACGCGCCTCATGGACTTCATGGCGCCATCTCTGTGGAACTTTCTGAAGTGGGGCGGAGGGCTCTCCATATTCTCCTCCTCCTCCTCCCTCCCCATCCCCACGTGACTGTTCTTCCCACCCTCTTACTTTTCTGCCCCCCTCCTCGTGCCCCCGAACCTCCAGGATGGGAGGGGGAGCGTAATCTCCAGCCATCCTCTGAGGAGGAGGAATATAAGCAGGAGTGGTAGCAAGGGGGAGGAAGGCGCATCCTCCTCCTTTCACCTCCTCCGCATCCTTCAACTGTGACCGATATTGTTCCTCGTACCTGTTATGATTATTCTCCTTATTCTCTTCATCATCCTCATGATCCTACTCTCCATTATCTTCGTCCCCGTGGGATCATATTCAAAGTAATGCTACATGTGGGTTAACGACATCCTTTACGGGCGAATAGTATCAAAGACGTCTACGGCGAGCCACCGCCGCCCCCCGCTTCTTTGGAATCTCTCATGTGGCCGAGCTTTGGGTCCAGAGCTTTGACAAGCTATCGGACCACGTGTACCCCGAGCCGTGCCTTCTTGGAGGCATCTGAGGGGCCTCATTGGGTCCCTTGGGTGCCTTTGTGGGCTTCTTGGGGTCCTCGTTGGCAGTCTTAGGGCGTCCCTAGCCCATCGGACGTCGTCTCGGAAACCGTCTCGGGGGTCTCTCTGAATCGACGGGGTGTCCTCCTGGAGCGCTTCAGGGCCATATTGGAGGCCACCTTGACTGTCTTGGAAACCTCTTGGGCCGTCTTGGGGTGTCCACATGGGGCCGTCTTGAGAGCCTCTTGGGCCGTCATGGGGCCGTCTTGGAGGTCTATGGGGCGCTCTTGAGGCGGTTTCTGGGGCCTTTTGGGCCGTCTTGGAGAGTTGAAAGGCCCACAAGAAGCGAATACCACAATTTTTGAAAACCATGCGGGGATCTATGATTTTGGCCGATCTCTTGGAGGCCTCTTGGGCCATCTGGGGAGCCTCTTGGGGGCCTCTTCGGCGGTCGGGAGGGCAACTTATGCCGTCTTGGGTGCATCTTTGGCAGTCTTGGAGACATTTGGCCGCAATCTTGGGCTTTATTAAGACCGTCTTCGCCGTCTCAGAGGCCATCCTATCCGTCTTGGAGGCCATCTGGTGGCCATCTTGGATGGGAAAACCGATGAACTGTACATTTTCCCGCGCTTTCTGGGTGGCCGGCGGGTTGGGCCGATACCCCATTGGGATTTCTTTAGAAAAGAACCAGACGCTTGCCAAGACATTCGGCATGCCGTGCACACCTGTGGCACGATCGCAGGTGGCGGCGGATCTAGTGGCAGTCGGCCCATCCCGTCACCGTGCCTGGGTTGTAGGTCAGAGGCCTCTTGGATGCCGTGATCCTGGGGTGCCTCTCGGAAGCCTCTTGGAGGTGGGTTTGGGGTGTCGTAGTGTCCTCTGGGGGCCTCTTGGGGGGCCCCTTGGGATCTGATTGGGCTCTTGGGGCCATGCTGGAGCTTCTGGGGGGCCTCTTCGGGGCCCCTCTTGGGGCCCTGTTGAGTCTTGTGGGCCATCTGGGGCACCCTCTCGGGGCCTCGTGGGCCGTCTTGGATTGTCGAAAGCCCGAAAAGGCGAGAACGCGAAACTCCTTTCACCACCTGTGGCAACTCAATGAGTTTGGCCTCTCGGGGCCCTCTTGTGGGGGGCGGGTCTCGGAGCCCTATTGGGGCGTCTTGGGGGCTCTTGAGCCGACTGCAGGCCAACTTGGGCGACATGGAGCGATCGTTGGGCGACACGGAGCCCTCTTGGCCAGTCTGGGGGGCGCTCTTGCCGCTGGAAAAGTCTAGTGGCAACACAGTGCGGACCTACACCGAAACCGATTGTCTAGAGGGGGCATTCCGTTTGATTTCGGTCACTCTTCCCAACCGACCCCAATCGACCTTGTTGAGGAGTTTCGGCCTGGACGTGCTGCAAGTTTGACTTATCGGGTGTCTCGTCAGATGGATGCGGCTTACACCGATCTGTATCGTTTGTTGTGCGAGTAACACTTTTGGGGGGAGGGTGAGGTGGAGATGGGGTGAGGGGGAGGAGGGGCCGGACGAAGAGGAGGGAGGGGAGGAGGAAGGGAGAAATGAGGATCACGGTTAGCCATGAGAAATTGAAGATTTAGCGCCACAGTGTTGCGAGAAAGAGTCGGAGGAGCTGCACTAGTCACAACCTCAGCGGCATTCGCTCTCCAGCGTGTGTGTGTGTACTCCGCAGAGTACCAGGGCAGTTGTCACGTTGATCGATACACGCTCGTTGCTGGTCAAATTCTTTTCGGGTGCAACCCTTCTGATGCCGCATATTCGTGCTTGCATTCTTACAACTCGCTTATGTCTTTGGGAAGAGGTGCGTCAATGGAGATTTCTTCGGATGGGAGGCAAGCTCATCGCTCCAAAGTGCAATGATGCTCTGGTCGCGTGTTCCCACGTACCATGCTAGCAGCATGCTGGAAGGTTGCTATGCGTCATGTTGGCGTCATGCCGCAGTGCTACAGTTTGAGTGTGGGGTTGGGCGTCGCGCCGTTATGGTGCAGCCAGTCGGCAGCGCGCAAGCGGTCCTCCTCTGTCCTTTTTTCTGCTGTTGCTGTTGCTCCCACCTCCTCCTTCCTGTAGCCTTCGTCTCGGTTCTGGCGCATGGCATGCGGCTCCCTCGCCTCGGAGTTGGCAGGAGACCACCATATTACCCATCAGCCCCCCCCACCCCTTGTACCACATCCCCCTCAAGCCAGGAGGTAGCTCTGTGGCTGCATGAATGCGTCGCCGAGCTGAGCTAGTCTTCTCCTTGGTGCAACGCGCTGGGTCTGAATGCGCTGCGAGCTCGAGCCTTCCAGTCATTCGCGCGTCTGGAACGAAGTTGGCTTCCAGCACTGATGCTGCGTCGCTCGTGGTGAATCGGGTCAATTTGAGCGGGGGTGCTGGATGTCTAAGGGAATGTCTGGATGTCGTAGGCGACGATGTTGGAGCGCGAGAGGGCTCGACGAGAGTGGGAGTGAAGCGAGGGCACAGGACAGGGATGGGGCATTTGACAAGTGAGCTTTCGCTCAGCCAGAGCACAGCACGAAGGGAGGATTCAAAGGGAGAGCAAATGGAGGAGGTAAGGGATTATAGCACGGGTCAGGTCATGGTAGGGGCTCAGAACAAGAATAAGCCGGAGAAAGTAAGCATAAGTATGTATTGCGATTGTGAGCATTGCCCGATGTGCAGGCAGATGCTTCGAAGGTGCGGAAGCTCTTCACTCCATGTAGTGGTCGCGTGGGCCCAGAGCCAAAGGACACGCGCGCCTATGATAACCAGAACCCGCTGACTACGCTTGCATAACATTGATGGGGGATGTGTGTATCTAGATGGCATGCGAAACGTCAGTGCGTGCGTTAGTTTGCCACAAATGTGCGAAACTGTGCGGGCAGGCACGCGTGTGTGCCTGTGCGACGCCTTTTCTTCAGATGGCGTGTGCCTGTGTGCCACCACCATCACCACCACCACCACTTCCACTTCCACCTCCACCATCACCACCGTCGCCGCCGCCGCCGCCGCCACCGCCACCACCACCACCACCACCACCACCACCACTTCTCTCCCTCTCCTCGCGTCTTCAAGCTTACAGCCACGGAGCGCGATCCTCTGCTCCACGGGCGTGCGCAACTGGCTCCCAAACGTCAGATCTCATGATTATCTCGTGGCATCGGGGGAATGAGAAGCGGCACCACCACCACCAACAACAACACCACCACCACCACCACCACCAGCAGCAGCAGCAGCACCACCACCACCACCACCACCACCACCACCACCAGGGGGGGCACCTCCAGCGAAGAGGTCCACGATGCCTCCCCGAGCTGGGGATAGGGGATATCTCGAGCGAGAGGGGGGGGTTACACCACCAGGGAGGGCCCCCTGGCTCCTCCCGCTGGTGGTTCCTGGTGGTGGCTGTGTCGCTTTCCCCTGTTCCTAGTCGAGGGCCGCGTGTTCTTCTTCGGCCAGCCGTGTGCTCCCGCTCACGGGCTGTCACCGGCGCCGGCGCCACGCCTCAGTGGCAACGCTTGGGGGGGAGGCTCGAGGCTTTCAGGCGGTGCCGCCGGTTCTCGGCGGTTCTCCTGCGGGTCACCCAGGGGGCGTGAAGATAGCAGTGCTTCGCGCGTCGCGGCCTGGGCCAGAGCGAATGTCCTTCTCCAAAGGCGGTGGTGTGAGGTCACGAGGATGCGAAGATAACCGCGCCTCGCGCATCGCGGGGGGCGCGATGCGCGAAGTTGGGTGACCCAGGCTCCTCCCGGGGCAGGGAGGCGTCGGAGAAATCAGCCACGTGAGCCGATCCGCTAACCACCACTGTGCTGCCCCTCCCTTTCGTCTGGCCCGAGACTGGCCTTCGCCCCTGGCGGAGCCCGCCCGCACCGCCATCCCCTGCAGCCAAGAAAAATCACGGCCGGAGCCTTGGACCCCGTCTTTCTGCGTCCCCCTTCGAGCCCTATCGATATGTGAGGGTCCTGGGGCCCGAGACAGGGCGAAAGCGCCCGGCTCGAAAAGATTGAGACGCTATAGGACCTCGGGGCCGGCCCCGACCGCCCCCAGCTCCAAGTGGCTGCCCTCGGCTGCCGGCCGAGGGCCGCGTGTTCTTCCTCGGCCAGCCGTGCGCCCCGGCTCACGGGCTGTCACCGGGGCCGGCGCCCTGTCTCGGTGGCACAACGTCAGTCGGGGAGGTTCGAGGCTTTCGGTCGGTGTCGTCGGTTCTCGGCGAGAGGGGCGTCCAGGTGTGCCCGGATCGTCCCGCACGGCCGCGGAGAGCATAGAGAGACGTTTGCCCCACGCGCCAAAGGACCGAATGCTTAGCGTGTCGCGTCGCCAGTTCTGGCCCCCCACACTCTGGCGCGACAGGATAACCACGTCCTGGGGCAAGGAAAAGTCTCGGCCAAGCGAAACTCGGCCAGCCGAACTCGGCCTGGCGGGACGCGGCCAATCCGAGCTCGGCCCATGGCCGAGTTCGGCCTATGGCCGAGCTCAGCGTGGGCCGACCTGCGTCCCCAGGCGTCCACGCCTCGCCTTTCGGAGCGGGGCGGAGCGCCCCGCCCCGCCACGCGGAGCCGCTATCAGCTCGCAGGGCGTAGCGTGTCGCCTGGGCCGCCGCCGCGGCACGCTGAGCAAAAGTGCCCGGCCGCAGGCTCGGGGGGGGGGGGGGGGGGCATCGACCCCCCAGTCGTCCACTCCCTGAGATCCTAGCGTTGCATTTGTTTCACATCGGGCGCTTCCGCCTAGCTCCGGGCCCAGGGACCCTCGCAGTTCGATCCCGGTCGACATATGGCACATGAAGATGGGGTCCAGTGTTCCAGTCGTGATTTTTGCGATGTTGCATGACGCGTTGCAACGTCGGGTCTCAGGGCTCGTCGCCAGTAGAGGCAGGAGCCCGATAGGACACCCCGCCTGGGAGCCTGCGGTTCTGCAACCGTGGGCCCATCGCCGAACTATCGGCGATGCAGCGCCGATTCCAGGTCGGCATTTCCCCCCTGAGCCGGTCCCCTCCAATCGTTTTCCCTCCTCTCCCCCCTAACACCACTGAGTTCTTTCGGTTTGCCCTGCTCTCGACTATCCGTTGTTCGGTCTTGTTCTCCCTTGTTAAGCTCATTGGGGGCGACGTGCCAGTTTTATGTGGAGGCAGGAGAGGAAGGCCAGAAGAGGAGACCGCCAACGGATAGGATAAAGAAGAGATGGAGCACGTAACGAAGAGATAGACAAACACGAGCATCGGAGGACAGGGTAACATATCAATGACTTGCAGAAAGATTAAGAATCTGACTGGATGAAGAGGAGCATCATAAGACAAGTGTCATTCTCAAGATTTGGTTTGAACCATGTGCTAGATGAGAGCGGAACGCGGCGACACTACCGTACCTCGTCTAGGGGACCAATCGCGAGAAGTTCATGGTGAGTGAAAATCATCACTCGCTCCCCGCCCACCGTCATCCCTGGATTTTCGTGTCGGCCAAATGGTGGTCGTATATGTAGTATGTGTTTTGATGTATGTTCGTTAATATTCATTTGCATTCAAACTTCCACTTCGAATCCTGTGCACGCGCTTGCTCATTCACGACGCTATGTGGGATACGGGTGGCGTGTACGGAACCCAAGAACTCCGTATCACTTGCACCACTATGACCTCAGCACGGGGGTGACATTGCGGGCCCAGAGGTGTGGAATATGAAGATAACGAACAAATATGATCGGACGACGAATGAACGTGTACGCATTACTAGAAGATGAGGTGCTACAAGCTCTGTGCATGCATCATGCGTACATGCTTGTGTGATTACGTACGTGTGCGGTTGTGCAGTCTTGACGTCTGCATTCACTGGATCGCGCACATGTGTGGCAGGGCTCCCATGAACATGGTCGGCGGATTATTGGATTAAGTATATGCATATGTGCCGACCTTCACATCAAGATATCATCAGCCATCACCACATTGACGCTTGCAGACATCTGCACCACCATGTCCATCGTTCCACGCGCAGCTACAATTGCAATTGTTCAGGCGTCAGTGTGTGAAAGTGTCTTGTTTTGCATTTGCACCGCCCTAAGCAGGAGCAGTGGCAAAAGGATGATCCGACTTGGCAGATCGTGGACGAAAGAAACGCCATTGGGATAGTCGTGAGAACACAAGGGTGTCAGGGTTGGGGAGGAGCTCTTCTTTGAAACATGGGGTCCAGCGCAGCAGAAGAGCAGATATTGGTGTTGTGTTTTTGCTCGCCGCCTCGCATGCGCCTGTCGTTGACTGCCGCTAAGCAGCAAGAGCTCTCGCACACACGCGGCGGGTGGTCCTCTTGTTCAGCGTTTGTGGTGTGCCCCTCATGTGGTCGCGAGTCAGGAGTCTGAGAGGCAAGAGGGCGTTGGCGGAAATTCCGATGGATTGCAACATCGAAAAGGATGCTGCGGTCGGCGTTTTGGAGGCACGCGCCGATCTGGGCCAGATCTGGAGCTCCCGAGGGGCTCCGAATCCTCGCGCTCCCCGCTCTCGCCCCTGCGAGCAGCGCCGGCGTCGAGAGTCCATGCCCGCGCGCATGCACGCGAGACGAACCGGGCGGGGCCAGGCGATTGCTGTGGCGAGAGCGATCCGCTGTTCCCGAGGACGGCGGCTGCTTGGCGCCTCTTCTTTTTTCATCGCTGGGATCATCAAGCTGCATTCGCCGCTGTCCCTTAATCACCATTTCTCTCCAAGTGTGCGGTGTCCAGCCCTCTTTCTCTGTCCTGTCTTGCTCACACATGTCATTGTGCTATCCTGCCACCTCCGGCCTCAGTCCCAGTCTGTTCGTGTATGTATGCCTAGTTATCTCTCTTGTTTTTGTTTTCTCTCTCTCTCTCTCTCTCCCCCCCTCTCTCCCTCTCTCTCTCTCTCTCTTTCCCTCCTCCACATTCTTTTTTTTTCCAACCATCCTGTGGTGTTGGGTCCTCGTTCTGAAGAGACAGCGCTCCGCGTTTCCTCAATCCTCCCCCTCCCCCTCCTCCCTCCTCCCCCGGCGGCGCGCGCGGGTCTCTCCTGCGGCCGGGGCTCTGTAGTCGGGTGTCAGCGCACCCCCCCCGCCCCAGGCCGACCGCTCGGCGGCGAGCCGCCCCCGTGGAGGACGGGCATCGCCGGCCGAGGCCTATACCCTAACTTATCCTTGGCATGCCCAGGACCAGGGCGGCGAAGTTAGGCGAGCGCCGCGAGCCCCCTGGCGGCCGGCCCACCAGCCCGCCAGAAAGCGCCGCCTGGCCCTCCGGCCTCCCTGCGCGCCGGCTGGCGGGGCCGGCGTCGCGCCGCCGCGCCCGGCCGCCGCCTCCGGGCCGCCGCGCCAGCCGGCCGCCGGCGCCGCCCCCAGCAGCCCAGCAGCAGCAGTGCCGCGCCGGCCAGCGCCCCCGCCAGTAGCAGCGCCAGCCCGGCCAGCCCCGCAGCCCGCAGCAGCAGTAGCAGGCTGTCGTCCGCAGCTAGGGCGTCGTCAGCGGCAGCCCGCCGTCAGGCCACCAGTTGGGCGTTGGGCGCTCAGTGCGCGTGGGGCCTCAGCCCGGGGCCGCGCCTGGCTGCGCCCCAGCTGCTCCCGCGGCGGCTGCGCCGCGGCTCCGAGCGGCGCCGGCGCCAGCGCGGCGGCGGTCCGCCACGGCTGGGCTTGCGTTGCCGCGAGGACCGCGTCCGCGGCGTGTCGTTGCAGCACGCTGCCCACGCGCCGCGTCCCCCGGGGGCGCGAGCTGCCGCGCGAGGGCCGCGGCGTCTTCACCAAATCTCCCGTGGTCTTCCACGACGAACGGGATCATCGGCACGTCAGGATAGCGAGCTCGCTTCCGGCGCTTTGCGGTGGCGGCAGCGGCCCTGTGACCCCCCTCACTTTGGCACGCCCCTCACACGTTGCCCCAGTCCGCCCGCATGCGTCACCCCCACCCAGTATAGCGCTTCGTGGCCCCATGGGGATCTCCATCGAAGGCCCCCAGTGGCACCGCCCGCATGCGTCACCCCCGCCCAGTACAGCGATTCGTGACCCCATAGGGAGCTCTGGTGCCGCCCGCATGCGTCACCCCCGCCCAGTACAGCGTTTCATGGCCCCATACGGAACTCCGCCGAAGGCCCCAGTGGCAGCGCCCGCATGCGTCACCTCCGCCCAGTACAGCATTTTGTGGCCCCAGAGGGAACTCCACCGAAGCTTTAGTGCCACCGCCCGCATGCGCCACCCCCGCCCAGTGCAGCGTTTCGTGGCCCCACAGGGAGCTTCACCGAAGGCCGCAGTGGCACCGCCCGCATGCGCCACCCCGACCGGGTACAGCGCTTCGTGGCCTGAAAGGGAGCTCCACCGAAGGCCGCAGTGGCACCGCCCTTCGTACGTCACCCCCACCCAGTACAGCGCTTCGTGGCCCCATAGGGATCTCCACCGAAGGACCCCAGTGTCACCGCCCGCATGCGCCACCCCCGCCCTGTACAGCGCTTCGTGGCCCCATAGGGAGCTCCACCGAAGGCCCCAGTGGAACCGTTTATTTTCGTTCCCCCACACAGTACAGCGCATCGTGGCTCCATAGGGAGCTCCACTGACGACCTCAATGGCACCGTCCGCATGCGTCACCCCGACCGGGTACAGCGCTTCGTGGCCCAAAAGGGAGCTCCACCGAAGTCCCCATTTGCGAAGTCCGCATGCGCTCCCCGCACCCAGTGCATCGCTTCGTGGCCTCATAGGGAGCTCCACCGAAAGCCCCAGTGGCAAAGTTCGCATGACTCACCCCCACCCAGTACAGCGTTTCGTGGCCCATCAGGAGCTCCACCGAAGACGATACACACAACTGCGGAACTCACAACTGCATTTTGTTGGGTCCTTCGCCAGGCTAATGGTTATCATTTGTTTGTTTCTCTCTCTCTCTCTCTCCTTCTCACTCTCTCTCTCTCTCTCTCTCCTTCTGCCCTTGTTCCTCTCGCCGTATCTGCATCGGTTTTGAGCCAGGGCCACGCTCATCTTGCTTAGACTCAGCCCTTGTACTGTGTAGGGCGGTGGCGGGTCGTCACTCACATGCTGCCCACCAGCTTTGTCATGCCTGCGCTCTGGATCGAGCCTTTTAGCACGCTGTGCCGGCGAGTTTCTACGCAAGGAACCCGGCTAAATTGCTGCTGTGATCGATGAACTTTCACGTTGCACCATGTAAGGAATAAGACGTTGTCAGCGTCCGCAACCTGGTGAGTCGCCAACCGATGGGGGAAGTTGCGAAGCCAACGCAATCCGAGATGAGAGGACGGCAAGCCCTGATGGCTGCAGGCAAGCTCAACGGCTGAACCGGTCGAAAGGTGGTGAACAATGCCCGAGCTGAGCCCCACGTAGTCACGGGAGCGAACCGCTGTGGATGGGAGAGACGGAGCAACAAGTTTTGCACACGAACGCGCGCACGCACGCACGCACGCACGCACACGCACACGCACACACGCACAACACACACACACACACTAGCGGTAGCGGCCTCGCGCGGAGCGACGAGGCGGAGTAAGCACACATGTTTCTTCCTCCGGCGAGGTGACCCCACAGTCGCGAGTGATATCAAGGGACATTGGCCACCGTCTAAATTACCACCAGGCGTTGCAGGAAAATTGCATCCGCACGCGCACACACACACACGGTACGGAGTCCAAGTTTCTTGGTTGCGAGGCGATGCGGGCCACAGAGTTACACAAAGCCAAGCTGCTGGGATTCCCACGCGCGAGGTCAGACGGTATGTACGCCCAGGGTTGCACCCCGCTCGCGCGTCGTGCTCAGTCTTCTTTGGGCAGTGGGCCCCTTTACTGCTTCGGGTCCGCGAGCTGCTGCCCCTTCGTTGGATGCATCGTATGCTCCGCGTGTGCCGCTCAGGTGTAGCAGGCACCCTGGAGGCCCGAGCGTGCCAGGTGCGGCACATGCTCCAACTGTGCCGCGCGCTCCAGCCGCGCCAGGAGCGCCAGCTACGGGGTATCAATAGGAACCCCAGGTGCCTGGGGCCCTGGCCCCAAGGAGTTCAGGATCTTGAACATCCCTGAGGCGAAGTGCCGAGCATTCTGTGAGAAGGGCGGTTCTTCCAAGGAGCGCAAAGCACCGGCACCGATGGACAAATTGTAACATTTAGAGGAGTCGGGATACACAGGGAAGTTCAGAGAAAAGCAGGCCCTGCGCATGCTCCAGATGTGGAGCCAAAGTCGGCCTGCGCGCAGCAAGCAATATGCCGGCACCCCCGTTGCCCCTGTCAAAAACCATGCAAAGTGGTCGCGGGGCGCTTGCGCATGCGCCAGATTTGGAGGCAAAGTGCATGTTGTATGGTTATTTCACAACCATCCTGTGGTGTTGGGCCCTCGTTTTGAAGAGACAGCGCCTAGCGTCATTCCTTCCTTTCTCCTCCCCATCCTCTCATCCCTGCCTCTGCCCTCCGCACCAGTCAACCATTTCGGCACACTCCTCACACGCTTCGTGGCCACATAGAGAGCTCCACAAAGGGCCCCAGTGGCTGCGCTCGCATGGCACCACCGCGCCCATGTCGGCACACCCTCACACGTTTCGTGGCCCCATACGGAGCTCAACCGAGGGCCGCAGTGGCTGCGCTCGCAATGCACCGCCGCGCCCATTCTGGCACACCCCTCACACGCTTCGTGGCCCCATAGGGAGCTTCACCGAGGGCCACAGTGGCTGCGCTCGCATGGCACCACCGCGCCAATTTCGGCACACCTCTCAAACGATTCGTGGCTCCACAGGGAGCTCCACCGAGGGCCGCAGTGGCTGCGCTCGCATAGCAACGCCGCGCTCATTCTGGCACACCCCTCAAACGCTTCGTGGCCCCATAGGGAGCTTCATCGAGGGCCCCAGTGGCTGCGCTCGCATGGCACCACCGCATCCATGTTAGCACACCCCTCAGACATTCCGTGGCCCCATAGGGAGCTCCACCGAAGGCCCCAGTGGCTTCGCTCGCAGGGCACCACCGCGCACATTTCGGCACACCCTTCACACGTTTCGGGGCCCCACAGGGAGTTCCACCAGGGGATCCCAGTGGCTGCTCTCGCATGGCACCACCGCGCCCACTTCGGCGCACCCCTTCACACGTTTCGGGGCCCCGCAGGATGTCCCACCAAAGGCCCCAGTGGCTTCGCTCGCACGGCACCACCGCGCCCATGTCGGCACACCCCTCACACATTTGTGGCCCCATAAGGGGGCTCCACCGCGGGCCCCAGTGGCTGCGCTCGCATGGCACCACCGCGCCCATGTCGGCACGCGCTCACACGCTTCGTGGCCCCATAGGGAGCTCCACCGAGGGCCACAGTGGTTGCGCTCGCATGGCACCACCGCTCCGATTCCGGTGCATTCTCACACGTTTCGTGGCCTCCATAGGGAGCTCCACCGAAGACGATACTCACAACTACGTTACTCACAACTGCATATGGTTGGGTCTTTTGCCAGGCTGATTTTCAAGGGATGGTTGGGGGGGGCTCATTGGTCTGGTTGGTTGCCTGTCGCCTGAGGGAGGGGGGCAACAAACCGTTTTCGCTCATGACCACCCGCCCTTCCAGTACATAAGTAGCATACGAGTCTCAGCATGGACAGTGGCCGCCATCGACGGTCATCGGGAACCAATGCGGACGCCAGCCAGGTGCGCGAAGCCCGCGAGGTGCGCCGCACATTATGTCAGCTGCGCCACGCGCACTAGGTGCGCCACACAGTCCCTCCCACAGTCCCTCCAAAGAATACTGCCAAAGTGACGGCGGGTTTGTTGTGTGCAGGTGTGCGCCCACGATCGCTTTGCATTGTTCGGTGGGCCTGTGCGCAGAAGGCATTATGCCGACCCCACTGCCGTCCGTGGCAAAATGAGCTGTTCATTTTCCTTCTGACAGGAATTGCAGGCAATATGCCGCCACCCCCACCATCACTGTCAAAATTTCATGCAGTGTGAGCGCGAGGCGTCCGCGCATGATCCAGACTGTGGTACGAAGTGCATTCGTTATTGTTTTTGTCCAGGGATGGTTGGGGGGTGCTGGCATTGCACACAGCAGGCAAGCTGCTGCCCCCCGCAGTCCCTGTCAAACAAAATGCGAAGTGATCGCGGGGCGCCCGCTCATGATTCAGATTTTGGTGCAAAATGAAGTTTGTATTGTTGCTGTTGCAGGGGATGGTGGGGGAGGTTGGCCTGCGCGCAGCAAGCAATCTACTTGCACCCCTGCCGTCCTTTTCAAAACCCAATGCCATGTGGTCGCGGGGCGCCCATGCTCCAGGTTTTGAGAACATGTGTATGTTGTATGGTATTTGGACAGATGGTTGGCCTGCGCGCAGCAAACAGTAAGAGCGCCCCCCCGCCGCCCCTGGCAAAAATTAAGGTAACGTGGTCGCGGGGCACCCGCGCATGCTCCAGGTATGGAGGCAACGTGTATTATGTATTTTTGTTGTGACAGGGATTGTTGGCCTGCGCGCAGCACGGAACATGCCCGCTGTCCTTGTTGGTTGACGGTCGCCTGGGGGAGGGGCTGTTCATCAATAAGGATCAGTGATAATCCCTCCTCCCCGAAGGGAAAGAGTGAAGATGGAAGAGGAAAACCGCTAAACCACTTCCGCCCAGAGGGCTGGTGGGATTCCCTTTGTCTCTCTCTGTCTCTCTTGCCTTTCTTGTTTTTCTGGCCTCCACTGAATTATGAATATCATGACTCTCCTCTCGACGCTCTTCGTCATTCTGGCCGATGACGCCGCTTGCGTGTTATCGACGTCTCCCCAGCATACTAATACTATGTGTGCGTCGCCCCCCCAGGGGCGTCGCGAGCACCGAGGAATCTTATAGTATATGCGTTGTGGCGGGCGCGTTCTGGCCGTACCGCTCGGGAAATAGTATATTTACAAGATGGTGATATTGGATGTTCGGGTCGAACGCACGCCTCCATGGAGGACACATAGCACTATAGTATGCCCTTGTGCGTCCCAGATGGCGCCGCTTGCGCGTTACCCGTTGGGTCCCACCCGGCCCAGGAGAAGCGCCCAGCGAGCGGAGCGGCGGACACTTCGAGCGCACGCGCCGAGAGCAAAGACTCGCACGCCGTGAGGTCGGCCTGCGGCCTTCGAGGAGGAGGGATGGAAGAGAAGGAGGGGGAGGGGAGGGAGGGAGGGATCGGGACGATCGAAATGGGTGCGGGAAGAAGGGGTACGAGACCGACAGAATGGCCTGTTCATTAAGAACAGGTCTCGGCAGACGGTCTCACTGTTGGTGTCCTGGTGGGTGTTGCCCATTTAAGCAGAAGGCCGCCTGCCCAACAGCGGCCGCTGTCGGTTTTGGACAGCATTTGCTGTTGGGCACCTTACCCATTATTTCCGTACGCATTCCGGGCGTCCGGCATTCCTTGCGCATGCCCCTGCGCTTATGGCCACCACGCATGATTCATATGTGGAAGGGCAGGCCAGAACGCTGTTCTCAAACGACGGGTGTCGCTCTTCCTTCTGTGTCCCCCCCCCTCTGGCCCGCTGCTCTTTGCGACTGCCTCCCTCCCCCCACGCTTTCAGAGCTTGGCTGCCGCACGCGATGCTCGAGCCGATTCGACGCTCGTTCGAGGAGGCGGAGGTGGAGGAGGAGGAGGGGGAGGAGGAGGCGGAGGAGGCGGAGGGGGAGGAGGAGGAGGAGGAGGAGGAGGAGGAGGAGGAGGAGGAGGAGGAGGAGGAGGAGGAGGAGGAGGCAAAGGCAAAGGCAGGGGAGACGGAGGAGGATGAGGACGGGGTAAGGCTGGAGAGGCTCAGGAGGAGTGAGAGGAAGGAGGACGAGCGCGAGGAGCAGCACGAGGAGTGCGGGGACAGCTGGCGCATCCGACGTCGGAGCGGTGCCTTCGCTCCAGCTCCGGCCACATCTCCGATCGGGAGCGGTCCCGTCGCCTGGGCGCTGGCCGTGTTGCTGTGGAGGTCTCTGATGTCGCCGGAGCACTGGCCGCTTCTCTGACCGGCAGTGGCGCTCCCGCCGAGCGCCAGCCACAGCCCTCATCGGGCACGGTCCTTCCGAGCGCCGGCCGCGTCCCTGACTGGCAATGGTGAACCCGCCGCGGGACTCCCGCCCGAGCGCCGGCCACATCGCGGATAGGGGGTGCCGTTCTCGCCTCAGCGCTTGTCACGGGTGGAACTGGGCGTGGTTTTGCCGCTTGAGCGCTGGCCACATCCTCGATTGGGGGTGGCTCCTGCCCGAGAGCTGGCCACAGATACATGAAGGGACGCTCATTGTCTCCATCTTGCAAGGGTTGTCCTGGTTGTCCGGGGGAAAGGGTCGGGCGATTTTTTGAACGCTTGTTCGATAGATGGTACCAGAGGTAGTGGTTTCTTGTTGCACGCAATGCACCGTTATGTATGTTGTATGAGCGATGTAGCACACAATTGGGAGGCCTGTCTCTGCTCCTGATCGCGAACAGGTCTGCAAGCGCGCTGAAGAGGTATACATACGCGATGCAGGTGTCACCGTGTCGGCCAGTCGCTTTGCCGTAGTAGGATTGGTTTCTTTTCTTGCGCGACGAAGGATGCCCTCGTAGTGTTGTCCTCGCAGGTGTCTGGGCAGTTCTGGTGACAATAGCGTTCACTCCTTGGTTTCCCACCCTTTGAATGTTACCGCGCCCGCCCACGTTGGCAAGGTTGCTTGGTCGATGGAGCACCAGCATGTGCTGCTCTCGCTGAGCTATGGCACCAGCTGGGCGATATGTTACGTGTTCAGTTATCGTCTGATTGTTGTACATCCTGTGTGCGGGGTTCAGACAGGACTTCCGCGACGTTGCTCTTTCCCTTCAGAGCTTGTTCTCTTGATGATCGTCGTCGTCTTCCTCCCTCTACCCATCTCCTCACATTCTGCCTGCTCGGTCTGGTAGTGTGCTTGTTCTTCCGCTCACAGCAGCGATTCCTTCTTCAGCTTGTCATCCCCACGATCGAAGCCGTTTCGGTTACAGAAACAAGCGTCACGCGACGACATTTGATCCCATAGTTTTGATTTGCATCGGCATCTGAATGGTCAATGTGCCGTCAAAATGTGCGTGCCAACTTCACTTTGCGACAATTTGGCCCTTTTGTTCTGCGCTCGAGCTTCTTCAGCATCGTCGTGATGCCGGAATTCGCATAACCCAAGTGCGTAATTCCGTAGGGCGACATTTGATTCGAGACGTTTCGCGTTCACCGCCCGCCCATTTTGGTTCTCGCTGGAAGAGGGGGGACGACATCACGGATGATACTATACGAAAAATATAAAGAAAAATCTTCGCGCAGGTGTGTGTGTGTGTGTGTGTGTCTGTGTACGTTTGTAACTGATTATTGCGCTCCATTCCTTCTCCATCCCATCGCCGAGCGTGCTCAGGTATGCCGTGTAGCCAATCGATGCCTGTCATCATTCACCATTGCATCAGTGATGTTAACGCTGGTTCTCTGGACCTCTATTCCGTATCCACAGTAGCAGGCCAGCAGGCCAGAACTTTCCAGAACACTGCCCGAAATTGACCCGACACGGCCGGAAGACAATCCAAAAGGTGCCAACAAGGGCCGAAGAGGGCCCTTAAAGGATCCAAGAAGAGCCCGAGGTGGCCCGGGCGAGCCTCCGGACGGCCGAAGCGCGAGAAGCCCCGCGTATTGTTCCCCAGCCCCGTCCGAACATTGAACAGGCTCAGATCGAGGCTGTCATGTGCTTCGCTTTCGGGTTAAAGTTGGTTCTGGAAACGTTAAGGAATCGGCCCGTGCGCGCGTCAAAAACGGCGCCGACATCTGAATTGTGAAAGATACCATCTACGCGCCCGAACGCCCGCGATAACAGGCGTCTGGATGACCCTGGCGAGGCTGACATTACTTGTAAGCGAAGTTGGGCCCGAGGTGCATTATGGTGGGGCGCAAGAGCCCACTTTGGAGGCCAGGCAGGAGTCCCACAGGGGTCAATATGGAGTAAAAATGTGCTCCGAGAGTACGTTGGGAACGGCATGCAATTCTACGTCGTTTTCGGCGCTGTCTGGAAGCCGTCTTGGGGCCTGAAAAAATGGGCGGGTGCCGCAGCGGGCGGCAAAATGGCGGAGCCCGTTTTGGGGGGGAAAGGGGGAGGCAAAAATTTTGAAAGGAACTCTAGCACTTAAACCCCATACGCCTCTCAGCCTGGTGGGCGGGCGCATTCAAGAGGCTGACGCCATCCCGCTGACCGCTGGGAACACCTCTGGACGGCTCCCTTTTGGGAGGCTTAAGCGCCATGCATGCTACGTCGAGGTGGCCATGGGAGTCCGTGTATGAATTGATGTGTGCATCAGGGTTCTGAACATGAGTGAATATGTGCATGATTGGACTGAGTATGAGTGACTAAGTGTGGGTGGGCCTGAGTGTGGGTATGTCTGACTATGAGCGAGCCTGAGTGCGAATGATCTGAGGGTGACAGATGTGTGTAGGAGTCTGAGTAGTACTACGGTGAGTATTAGTGGATATGATGCTGAGTGGTACGAATATGAGTTAGGCTGGGTACGAACGAATCTGAGTGTGAGAGGGTCTGGGTGTCAATGAGTCTGAGCATGAATGGGCCTAAGTCTGAGTGAGAGGAATGAGGCGGGAGGTGAGGAGGCGGAGGCATGATACGAATGACACTAAACACACGTTTAGGACATGAGGTAAATCACTGATTGTTTCCTCCTGATGCCTCCCCTTGGGGGTCCTCTTGGAGCCCACTTAGGCCGTCTTGAAGGCCTCTTGGGCCGTCTTGAGGGCATCATGGGTGTTCTCGAGATCTCTCTGGCGTGTTGGAGCCCTCCTTGAGCCATCTTGGAAAGCATCGAGGGCATCTTGGAGGCCAAGGAGGGTGGATTTGAAGGCTCCGAGGGTCCCAGAGGTGCGCTGATGAGCTCGTGGCCTTCCCCGTGCGCCCCCCCTCCGTAAGGCAGATGTTGGCCCATCGAGCGGGGGGATAAGAAGAGGAGGGGACAGCCAAAAGTCTCGCACACCTTTTGACCTCGGGCAAGCCGGGGTCGGTGCATTACGTGGTTCGATTTCGCATCTGCACGGTTTGGTCGTCGTGGCGTCTGAATCTAAATAGCCGAGGTGTGCTCATGATTTCGCTGCTGCAGCAAGCGTCGTTGACGGCTTTTGTTTATACGGTTATCCAGCTGCCTGCGGCAAGTCCCGCCACCGTGCCAGCCCAGCATTCTGGGTGGCGATTGTTCGAGGAGGCACGGGAGGCCGTCACGGGTGACATTTCGCGTCTCAAGGCTTGGGAGAGCCGTGCCGAGGATGGTGAGGATGCTGACGACGATGATGATGATGATGATGATGATGATGATGCTGATGATGCTGATGATGAGGATGAGGATGAGGATGAGGATGAGGATGAGGATGAGGATGAGGATGAGGATGAGGATGATGATTGTGACAATGATGATGATAATGATATTGATACTGATGCTACGGATGATGATGGTGATGATAATGATGATGGCGATGATGATAATGGTGGTGGCGGTGATGCTGATGTTGGTGACGATTAAGACGATGGTGATGATGATGACCATGATGCTGCTGGCAATGAGGATGGTGGTGGTGATGGCGGTGATGCTAATTATCATAAGTATGATGTTGATGACGATGACAGCGACTGTTGCAATGACGGTAATGATGATACAGATGATGATGACGGCGATGTTGATGATGGTGATGCTCATGATGATTAAGGTGATGATGATGATGGTCATGATGATGACGATGTTGATGTCGATGATGATGATGATGATGATGATGATGATGATCATGATCAGGATCAGGATTATTGAGGTGATGATGATCATGATGATGAGGGTGATCATTGATGGTGGTGATGAGGGTGATGATGATGATGATGATGATGATGATGATGATGATGATGATGATGATGATGATGGTGATGATGACGATGACGATGATGGTGGTGATGATGATGCGGAGGAAATGCTGAAACTCGTTTGGGCTGCCTTGGGGCTGCCTTGGCCTCTTGAGAGGCAGTCCTGGGGGATCCCTTGAGGCCCTCTTGGGCCTTCTTTGGGGCCGTCTTACGTTGGCGTGGGGTTCTCTTAGACCGTCTCGGGGTCATCTTGGCCGTATGGTGGGTGCCTGTGAGCCGTCGCGGGCCCGTCATGGCGCCGTCTTGGGCCGTCCACGGGTCTTCTTAGGGCGTAGTGGGTCCCACGGTAGGCCCTCTTGGGCCGTTGTTGGGCCGTCTTGGATGTTTCTTGGGCCATCGTGGAGTCCTCGTGGGCCGTCTTGAGCTGACGGCATCCCGAAGAGGCGAAAATTCGAAAATCGCGGAAGCGTCTACAGGGAGCACGATGATTTGGGTGTCTTCGGACCTTGTTGGGGATCCTGTTGTTGCTTTTCTGGGTCCTCTTGGAGGCGTGTTGGGCCATATTGAACCAATATTCGGCCGGCTTGGGGCAATTTTGGGCCGCTGTCGGAGCATATTTGGCTATTGTCGTGTCTTTGATTGCCTGCACGGGCCGTCTTGGAAACTCGGGACGGATACCCATCGTTTTAAGCAGAGGATCGTGGCTTACTTTGAGGGTCTGTCCCAAGGGATGACATGAGCTTGCCTGATACCGCTGCCGCCTTGGTTCAAGGCAGCGCCGCGCTATCTGCTAGTGTAGGCGGCGTTGCCTGCACTGGATGTGCGGTGTTGGCAGGTGAAAAAGGGCATTCCTCTCCTCCACCACCATCAGGCTATTCGACATCCCCGTACCATTTATTTCGCTATTGACAGTCACGTCTTGGAGCTACCCGCTCAAACTTGGTAATGGCGCTGTTGCAGCCGCGACAGCTCTGCTCACCACCGCCCTCATGTACGACGTGCACAAGGGCAACTACGCGCGGGACGACTACAACATGAGCAGCGCGGTCAATTACGAGTTCGACCTTTTCCCGGCCCCGACATCAGCGCTATCAGTGCGCCTGATCCTTCAACAACCCGGGCCACCGACGCTCGAGGAGACTCGGCCGACGAGCTGAAGGCCTTCCTGTCCATCAACACCGTCGGGCGCGCGGGGGCCCCCGACCACCACAACGACGTCCACAACATGTATCACTGCGTCTTCGATTCCGTTTTCTATTCACCGTCGCCCGTGGAGACACTCAAGCCTCCACCGCATCTACTTTTACGTCCTTACCTACGACCTCTGTCACGTCCACTCTCGGAGACGAATGATTCGCAGGTTCCCACACAAGTCGCTACTACCTGTTCGACTTCGACCTCGTCTTCTTTCGTACGCGGAGACGCAAGCAACCCTATTCATCTCCGACCTACAGGCTCACCGACTCGCGAACTCTCTGTCTCCAGTTGATCGTAGTAACACGACATGCGCCATTTCCATTTCCAGAAGTACATCAACCAACCCCGCTCACCGCAGCATCAATCTTTATCCGGGCACAGTGGTACATGGACTACTGGTATTGGTCATGGGCACCATCATCGGCCACATGAGCCGAGAACGTGTCGGAGATCAAACGAGAGGCCTCACATGGGATCCATCAGGCTCGGTGCCGTGTCGCGCGTGGATCAGGGAAGTCCATGCGCGGCCCACCGTCAATTCTGGACGTGTGACGCCTTCGCAACAGACTGCCGCATTGCACCGTGGACTCCAGGGCTTGAGCAGGATTTTGGCCATGAGAATACCTCCAGCATTTAGTTGTTTTGATGCAGAAGTCAA